GAGGTGCAGGAGGTGAAAGGATTCACCAGAGACAGAATGGGGAGCAGAACAGGCAGATGGAAAAAGTACACTGCTGAGCAGAGCAGCAGGAGGGTCAGGAGAGGTCTGCTACGCCATGTGGGTCACCTCTGGGGCGAGGTTTGAACCCATGCTGCAGTGGCTTGTCGGGGACCAGCTCCAACTATTGAGGTGTCTGGAAGCAAGACAGGCAGGACCCTAAGATGGGAAGGCGTCGGCGAGCGGAGATTCCTAAAAAGGGGAGAAGGAGGAAAAGGGGAAAGGGGGGCGAGGAAGACACGGGAGTTGGAGTTGGGTGCAAGTCTTCCTGCTCTACCTTCAGCAGAGGCTTATTTTTATACATTAGGAGTAAATAGTGGGATGATATCAGCACAGGAACTGGGCTGAGAGATTACAATCATCTTTTTTTTCTAAGAACAGTTTGGGGTCGTTTTGACCCTTGCTTGAAATTACAACATTCTAAATTCAATCAAGGTAAAAAACAGGTACATAAGTGCATAAAGTCTATGACTAATATTACTATAGTGGAGATCAACTAAGATAGAAGTCCCTTAAACCTTATCTACTACTTAAATGAGTTCTACTACTTAAACCTTATCTACTACTTAATTATCTACTACTTAAATGCCTGAGCCATCCTGGGAGACAGAAGAGGAAATTCCTTGCTAATCAAATCTCTGAATAGGAAACATAGGTGAATTTCTTTATCTAAAGACTACATAGTAGAATCCTGAAAAACTAGCCAGAAGACTTTTGTGGATTCCTTTAAGGTGTAGCAGGTGGAAAACTTGATTAGTTTAAAAAACAGGCAACCTGGATGAATTTCCACATCTAAAGGCCAAACAATAGGAAGTTTGAGTGATTCTTTAAAAAGCTGAATAGAAGGATAGGTGAGATAATAGAATGATAAGATTTGGGTTATCCTCCATCCGGCAGTGAGAGAGACTTTGCAAAAACAGCCCTTTTACTTTTATCAGTCAGTAGTCAAGTCACTCGACTTCAGGGGAATTTTTCACCCTGGTGCAGTGCTTGCTTGTCAGGGCAGGCAGGCCTTATGCGGCTGAGGCAATCCAATTATAAGCTGAAAGTTGCTCAGAATATTTTGATATTACGATTATACAAAAAAGGGAGGTCATAACATAAGTTAGCACAATTCCCCTCCATCCGGACCGTGTCTGACGACAGAGGTTGCATAGCTTGTGTCAGTGGCTGGTGACAGCTTGATAGCGCTGAGACTTTAACCCTGTGCCACGAGAGAGGCCCCTTGTTACCAGGAGTTTTGAAGAGAGAGCAATTAGAAAGCAACTGTAATTAGCATATAAAGGTTTTTACAAACCAACAACAAATACAAATAACACAACTAAAATGGGCAAAGCATTGAGTGAGTAGACATGAATCCAAAAAAACACACAAAGAGCCAATAAATATATGAAGGTGTCCACCATCACCATCATGAGGAAAATGCAAAAGCCAGCAGAAAACAGAATCTCAATGACATAGCATTGAACGTCCACTAGAATAGTTACATTTAAAATACCCACAACTAAAATTAGAGAAATTGTAACATGATGCATGACTCGAGGATATACAATGTGTCACTTTATTGTAAAACACATAATTTCTTTAAAAGTCGAACAAATTGCCTCATGATGCCGCAATTCTACACCTAGGCACATACCCCTAAATTTAAGCATAATCACACAGAAACTTATACAACATTGTTCACAGTGGCATTATTTGAACTAGCCCCAAAGTGGAAGCAGCCCAAATGTCCATCCACTGGTGAATGGGCACACACACCATGTGAAATGCAAACAGCGGAACAGTGTGAATCCATGAAAGAATCAAATACTGAAGCATGTTACAATGCTAATGAGGCTTAGTGTTGGAATAGTGTTAGTCCATAAAGGAATCAAATACTGAGACATGCTACAATGATAATGAGGATTGAAAACATTATGAAATGAAAGAGGCCATACACCGGCATCAGACCAAGATCCTTGCAAATCAGAGCTCTGACCCACTGGAGGGGATGGAGAGGTCTAGGGAAGCTCCCTTTTGTTCTCTCCTTCTCCCCTGGTCAGGCTCACATTCTCTGCTATTTGTGAGTGGCTATGTCCACTCATCCACCGCATACTCATTCAGTGTCCACCTAGAACACTGCACCCTTCTAGGCAAAAGGAAACAGCAGAACAAAGCACACCAAAATTCTGTCTTAATAGGACTGACATTATGAATCCATGATGGCTAAACAAAAATTTAATTTACTCCTATGGTGGAAGGAGGAAGAAGGGAGAAAAATGATTAACCTGGAAATAAGGCCGGAGAGTGTCAGAGAAGGAGGCCCTTGGGAAGGTGAAGATGTGCGAGCCAGTTTTCATGTTGTAAAATGACACAAGTCCAGCCTCACAGTCCAGAAACACCCCCACAAGCAGAGTCCGCTCCCTCAGTGGAAGGGGAGTTGGCGGGGAGGTGAGGGCCAGGTAGCCATTGGGCTCAGAGAGTCTGATGGCCCAGAAGCCAGACTGAGGATCTGGGTTTATGTTCCTGTCCCTCTGCACATTTTCCAGACAAACTCCTATGTCCCATGCAGTTCCTTCTCCCATACACACTTCAAAGTAATGTCTTCCTGAGGTGAAGCCCTCACAGCCCAGGACACAGGGTAAGGTACAGAATCTCCTAGAATTGGGATGCTTTTCCTGGGCATCTCCACGGGACACTTGTCGCTGATCCTCAGACAGCTTTAGTTCAGGATGAGCTGTGTCTGGATCCAGAGTCACGCTGACTAAAAAAGAGAAAGACACGTTTTATTTGCTGAGAATACAGTGCACGGCAACTCCAACCTTCCAGGTTTCAGTGTAGCCCAGTTTCTTGTACATCTGTGAGGGATTTTCTGAGACGCTGCAAACTAGCAGGAAATCATCATATCTGCCACATTAATGTTGGGGAGAATGATGGTGAAAGAGCTAATGCACGCTTAGAGCTTGGAGAAATGAAATGCCTGGCATTTGGTAAGTAACCAGTAAGTGGAGTAACATCCTCTCCACCACTATCTCTGTCACCATCTCAGTTACTCAGAGAAGGCAAGGGACTGACTAACCAGTGTGTGACTGGTGCCCCAACCCTTTCTCCCTGTGTAGGCCAACTGAGAATCATGGAATATTGAAGCAAAAAAAAAAAAATTATCCCCATTTCTGCTTACAAACCTCTCAACTAATGATCAGAAAGGAAAATAACCTGGCTGTGTTTTATCTTGCTTTGAAACAGATACTGCAGATCCCAATATTCTATGCCGCCCTCAGAGCACATGTCAGTCCTACAAATTCAGTGTGAAGTCTTTTAAATTGATGCAGATAATAGTCCATATTGTCCCAGGGATTACCACAAGGTGATACAATTTATACTAGAAATAACATACATCAAAAATTCTGACTACATAAGTAAAATAGAAGAAAATCCTACTAAGCCTAAGTGTGATATTGGCCCTGAGTATATTTACAAAGCAGCAATGATAATAGTCTGTTCTAGCAAGAAGTGAACCTCCAAACTATTGCCGAGTTAAACGCTGATCAGCTCATCTGTGAAAATATGGGAAATCCACATGCATACACCTGCTTTGCTGGACAACCTCGGGTTATCTCTCTACTTTGCTGCACCTCTGTGCCCAGGAAGGCGACCACTGTGGCCCCACAGGTATCCTCCCCCCCCCCCGACTTGTTTTTTCCAGTCAATGGGAGGCCCCAGAGGAGACCAGGAAGCAGAAAGAAGCAGAGCTAGGACCCCTCAGTGCCCAGATCTCACTGCCTGAGAGGGCGGTCCCCGTCACCTATGCCTGTTCACATCTCCTGTCCTAACAGTTCCCTCCACCTGCCCCACAGACCCAGGGGCCAGGGCCCCGAACTCACTCCTAGCCTGGTATACTCCCGTTCATGACCTTAGTTTTCATTATTGGAAATAACTCCTTTCTTAAACTCTCCTCAGTCAGTCCTTACCCTCCTCACACATGGAAGTTTGCATTTTCAATTCATTTATCTGAACAATCCAAATAACCATAGTGAACAGATTAAACTGTTTAGAGTTATACTGAGAGTGAATATATCAATTGGCATTTTAAAATGCTACCTAGTGTTTACAATTGACTCTAGTAACTTAAAGACATAGGAAAGTTAACCATGAGAGGATGGATTATACAACTGTATAGCTAGTCTATTTATCAAGTAGTAGTAAATTGAAGTATTATTGTGGAAGAAATGTACTACCAAATTATACAATATACATTTCACTAGGAAAATACCACCGTTCTGACCATGCATGTAGTATGTCACCACAAAATATACAATGTGAAAAATCACCTAATTGCAAAGTGAAGGGAAAAACTCTGAAGTCATCATGAAACACTTTAGTATTCTTCTCTCCACAAGTGACAGATCAGGCCGGTCATAAAAGTAACTAAACATGGGGAAGATTTGAACATTTCAACCAGACCAATCGAATACATAAATAGAAAATAAACAGAGAATATACACTTTTCATCACATTTCCTACATGGATTATATAGTTACTGATTAAGAATACTCTGAAACCTAAGTCATAAAATGCTTAAAGTTGGGATACAGATACCAGACTCAAGGGTGGCCTTGCATGACCCCTACCTCCTGGAATTTGCGCTCTTATAAAGTTCCTTCCACTTCGGTGAGGACAGAACCTGAAAACTACCTCTTATCAATTTGTTTAGAATGATGAGATATGAGGCCTGTGCCTATTTGCCATTATATAAGACTCCATCTTGCTCCCACCTTGTTCTGGAACTGTCCTTGGGTTTACATGAAGAAACAAATGGCCTTGTTATACAAGTTAAAGGGTACCTCCTGTTCACAAGTGAGACTGTCTATAGCAGATGAGGACAGATTGTATTTAATAACCTGAAAGAAGCCAGGACCCTAATATATAACATAAAGCAATGAAGCTATCAACTATCAGAATAAACTTGGAAGTGGATTAGTCCCTAGTCAAGCCTCCAGATGAGAACACAGCCCACCCAGCACATTAATTGTCCTCTGTAAGGTTCTAATCATAAGCCCTAGAAGATATGAACCATCTGAACAAATCTGAACTACAAACCTGAGAAAATATGTGGGTTTTGTTTTAAGTGATGAAATACTTTAAAGCAATACATTATACTATCGTTACCACATCATTTCGAGATAAGTCTCAATTTATGACCAAATGGATTATTAAAACAATTTAATTTGAATTTTCTAATTGTGGACATATGGAAAAGGGCAAGTACTAAGTTGGAATAAAGCATCGGAATGCTCAGGCTTTCGAATGGCTTTTAGTGAGATCTAACATTTACAGAGGTCAAGCTGTAAACCATTTCCACCAAGGTGCAGAAATCTGATCAATCTTTCTTGCATTGCTGAGCATTTCATGAAATGTTAACAAAAAAAATTAGGTTGTAGACACTGTTCTAAACACTACATATAGTGATGCTTGCAAATGTCATGATGCTTTAAAGTGTAGCATGATGTATCTGCTAACATTGTTAATTTCAGATGGAAGAGTGAGCCCTGATTTGCAGGGTTGATTCAGCTAGTCAATGGGAGAAGAGGCACTGGAAGAGCCTGACACTTCACCAGGAAGCTACACCCACCGACCCACAGAGAGAGGGTTCCAGCGCCCTTGAGAAAACTAAACAACCTCTCTGTCTCTGAGTCTGCTCAGGGACAGCTGCTGACCTGGTGACCACTGAAGGTGCTTCACCTTAATGTGAAGCATGAAGGGAACTGCTGAGTTCACACACCTTGGATGCTCTTGAACATTTCCTTCACATCAAAGTAAAGCTCAGAAACATTGCACGCAGTTTGAGGCTCCAAACAGCAGATATCTGGCAGTTGCAGCGTCACATCTGAGTTCCTGGAATAAACAGGGACATTCCATTCACCTCTGGGAACCCATCAACTTCCCATCCTCACACTCCCAGTCAGACAGACTCACCTGCTTAATGTGTCTTTCACATCCTGCAGTGAAGGCAAAGACAAAAGGTGAGTGTGGGAAAGTCAGTATTCAACACATGAGGTTAGCTCGTATGCACACACCGCCCCAGGATGTAAGGAGCAACCCACTGAGATACCCGGGCATGCCCAGGTACAACGACTCCCACCAGCCCTGAGGATTTTCAGTGCCAGTGTGTGTCCCTGCACCTGCTCAGCCTGCGGGGAGCAGTGGAGTCCGCATCGCATTAGACTGGGAGCTGAGGGAAGAGGCCAGGCTTGCTCGCGGTACCTTTGCTATTAGTGACCTATTTCCTTCTGAGGAGCCCATGTGAGAGATCACTTATGACAAAGGTCCTCAGGGGGGAGTCCATGCCCAGCCAGCCTCTTGGCCACTGGGGCACCTGCTGAAGGAGCTGCCATGCTCCATCCTCACCCTTACAGTGCGAACACCAGTCCCGCAGCAGCAGCCAGAGTCCCGGCTTTTATGTTTACGGCTAGAAGCTTCAGGCAGCTGAGGAGCTCCCGTAAGGGTATGTGGCCAGAGATAACAAGTGAATCAGGAAAAGGTTATCATTCTTTTGGCTGCCCCACTCTATACCACCATCATTTTCAAGAGACGGCTAGAAAGGATCCCATGAACAATTGACAAGGGCATAAAATGGCATGAAGGATATCCTACGGTCCCATGTAGTATCAGAGAAGTGAAGTTTCTGACTTATATACTGTCACTCTGGAGACTGCATAGGCCAGCAGTTGATAGTGGTATATAGATCTTCACTTTGTTTCCCAAAGGGCAGGTTTACATTAAGAAGGAAAAGAAAAGACACTTGCATAAACACAGATGGGCAGAAAGAGCTTCCCCTGCAAGGGACAGGTTTGCTGAAAGGGAGGGCTGTGTAGGCACAGGTGAGCAAAAGGGCTGCTGCTGATAGAGGTCTTAAACAGTGATTCCTTAAAGTATTGAGTGAGGTGAGAGGGCTCGCCAAACTCCCCAGTCTCCCTGGACAGTCTCCTCTCAATAGCTCAGGAGCAGAACCTTTTTCCTTCCCTGGAATTTCACAGCCTCACCTGCAGCAAATTCTGGGCTGAGCCCTGACATTTCTTCTCTAGCTCCAGGAGGAGGTTCTGGAGTTCAAGGTTCTGCTTGTCCAGACTGGCTTCACCGGCCTGCAGTCTCTTCAGCAGCTGCTCTCTCTCTGTCTCCAGTCTCCACAGATAAGCTTTCTCCTCTTCATGGAGGAAGTTATGGAGGTTCCTAAAGTCAGACTGGATTTTTTGCCTCCGGAGCTCTATGTTCTCCTAGAATCAAGAAAGTTCACAGGAAAGGGGGAAACAAACCAAAATACTCCCATGGAGAGCCAGTAAACACATGTGTGCAGAGACACAAGGCAACTCTGCTCCTGCAGGAAGAAGGAAAACGGTGACACGTGCGCAACTGGACATATCTGGAGGTCCATGGTGAGGGTGCGAGGCAAAGGAGAAAGACCGTATGAATTTTCTTCTGTGAGGTACCTACTCCAATTGAGAAACAGGAAAGAGAACGGTGGCCACCAGGAGCTGGGCAGAGGGAGCAATGGACTTATGGTTAATAGACATAGAGTTTCCATTTCGAATTTTGAAAAAGTTTTGCCTTCGTACAGAGGGGATGATGCAAAACAATCGAACACTTAACGCCACGGGGCTGTACCTTTAGAAATGGCCTAAAGTCAGGTACTCAGATGTGGAAAGGTGATCATAAAGCTGCAGCCCTCTGGTCAACTTCCTTCTTCTTGAGCCAAGAAGCAGAAGAAGTGGCAGGAATGCTAATAAGAGAATCTTGGGATTTGGCCAAGACCAAATAACTCATTATTTATGAAGACAAAACCAAGCACTGTGGGCAAGTAAGAGGCTACATATGTATTTCTGATGGAATTTCTTCAACTAAAGGCTTATAGTGCATAGAGCCAATACTGAATTTAAGACATCAGGCTGCTAGAAGAGAACATAATTCTCAGTGTGGGGAGACCTGAGGAGTTAGCAGAAATATTATTGCACTTACCCAGGATTCATTTTTCATCTTTAAGTATAACACTTAAAAAAATTGGGAGAGTCAGATTTCATTTGTAGAATAAGGATTGCAATTTGTATTGATGCTTTTTCAAGGCCCACAGTGCTATCATGACTGTGGTGTTGTCGGAGAAGAGGTCCTATCTAGAACCAAGTGGGACTTTTTGTAGGAGACATGCGACAGCTGGACTCTAGCATTCACACAGCTTCCTTATGTGGTTTGTGGCAATAGAAGTTTTTCCCTATGACCCGATATTCAAGAAATGAGACAGAGGCTGTTATAACATCTACAGTATCAGAAATCTCCATTTGCAATTTCCAGCTAAGGATTTCCCAACTGCCAAAGATTTCACAATGAGGGATGAAAGAGTACAAGTCTCACATTGAGTCACAAAGAAGCAGGATCAAAGTGGGAAGAGAGACTGAAAGAGGCAATATGGCTCCCACATTGGGGAATTTGATTATTAAGTCATGGATTACAGACATGTCCATAAAAGGATTTGTCTCTGATCCTGCAGGGGCTGCTCAGCTGTCAACCACCCTTAGAGGCCCACAGTCTTCAGTGAAGTTGGGTGAGTTCTGCTAGAGATCTCGCCTCATCATGACTCTCACTAGTGTGAGTTACAGAAATGTCTCCTGCAACGGTCCTGTTTTTTATTCACTAAGGTTGGTCCTGGAACCAGGATGGTAGAGGGTTAGGGCCTGTCCTCTGGTAAATGTGCCCAGGTGAGTTCATGATCTTCAGACTTGAAGATAAGGAGCATAACAATGTTGACTGAGGTAATGGGACACCTAGTTAGTGTCTACTGCATGGCTGAAGAAATGAAATTCTCCTAAATTAAATAACTAATGAATTACTTAAAAAAAAAAAAAAAAAGCCACGGGACCCTCCCTGGTGGTGCAGCAGGTAAACTCATCACTAAGAAGCTAAAGCCACTTCAGCACCACTTTGATCCCCGGCCCCGGAGGTGAACCATATGGCATGGCAGACCTCTCCTGACCCGCCTGCTGCTCCCCTCAGCAGTGTACTTCATCAGTTGGTTTGTCTTCTCCCCACTCTGTCTCTGGTGAATCTTCTCACCGTCCCTGCACCTCTGGCCTATACCCCAGTTCTGTATGTATAAATAAATAAATCTTAAAAAAAAAACCAAACCAGCATATTCTTTGGGTTTTAGCAGTTTGGACATGTTTATTGAGAATAAACCATCATGAATATTTTGCCCAGTCATATCCGGAATAAATTCTGAGATGAAAAACAGTTTGTGATCACTAAACTCAAATTCTTACCTCCCATTCATTTATTTGCTCTCTCGTGAACAACTTCGCACTTGCACAGAGTTCTTGCACTCTCTTCAGCTGTGTTACAACCTCTTGGAGTTTCTCCTGCAAGAAAAAAAGCAAGATATGGCCTATCCATTTGAAAATCTTCATTTGGCACTTACGTGGAGTCCCAGCCTCGAAGATGTACAATAACTATGAATACATTTTTGTGTTCTTACACTTTGAGAGGAAGCAACATGGGGGCAGTAGAGTAAGTCATTCCCTAGAAGTCTCTGAGCGTTGGTAGGATCGTATCATCTTTCTGTGTTGCAGAAGTGGGGGCCTAGGTGGGGAGCAGTAACCTGCCCAAGGGGCCATCACTGACATGCCCCTTGAGCTGTGATTCCCAGCTACTCCACTGCACTAGAGAATGAAAGACCACCAGAAATATGCTGCATATAGAACAAGATTACATTCCTCTAAAGGGGCATTTTATAAAATAATGTGCTGGACCTGTCGTAAACAATACAGAGTATTTGGCTAATGTGAGACTTTTACATGTTATGTGTGTGAGGAAGAGAGCCCAGGATAGCAGCTGAAGTTCCAGAACCAGTTCATGGACAGAGCTTGCTACCACCTGAAGAGCAGTGTCATGACATCAGCTTATAGTGATTTAGTCTCCACATTCACCCCTAGGGTTGCTCTACAAAAGTTTCTCACATTTTCATTTTTTGAGATTTATTTATTTATGCATACAGACAGAACTGGGGTACAGGCGAAAGGTGCAGGGGCAGTGAGTAGATTCACCAGAGACAGGGTGGGAAACAGAACAGGCAGTCTGACGAAGTACACGCTGAGGGGAGCAATGGGCAAGAGAGAAGAGATCTGCTGCACCATGTGAATCACCTCCAGGCCCAGGGATCATTCCCCTGCTGAACTGGCTGTAGCTAGCTTGCAGTGGTGTGTCTTAACCAGTTGCACACCAGGGAGGGCCCTCTTTTTTTTTTCTTTAAGACTTTTATTTTTTTATTTATTGATGCACACAAGAACTGGGATATAAGCAAGAGGTATGGGAGGTGAGGAATTCCCCAGAGACTAAATCTGGTACATAACAGGTGGATCTACTGAAATAGACTCTGAGGGGAGAGGTAAGCAAGACAAAGACTTCTGCTGCAACATACAGTCAGCTCTATGGCCTGGGATCAAACTAATGCCACAGTGGCTGGCAATAGCTTGATAGAGCTGAGACTTTACCCCCTGTACCACCAGGGAGGCCCAGTTTATCACAAATCAGAGGAAGTGATCTGAAGCTTACTATATTGGCGGTTGAGGTCCACAGTAAAGGAACTGGCTTCTGCCCTTTGCAAACTCATAAATATACTCATAAAATCACATGCTCTCAGGACGTTCTTTTGAATCTTTCTTTTTTTCTTTCCCTCCACACATAAACTCCCAGTGTCTGCTGCAGGTCTGGACTGGGGTGTAGCCCCCCCAGTAATACCAAGGTTCCTTCCTGACATCCTTTCCCAAGCCCGTGACTGCCTTTCCCATCACACACCCCATGACTGGATCATGGAAAGTCAGGCATGCCCCGGGACAGGTGGTCCCCCTGACTGCTTCCTGTCTTTCGCCTATACTTCTACCCATGGGTATACTCTGTGTGTCCTTCAGGACTCATCTGGGAAGGCTCCCCACACACCCATTCATTCCCACCCCTTGGGGCTCCCCCTAATCACCCACACCAAGAGACATCAAGCAACCTGTATTTTTTTTTAAGACGTCTATTTCATTTACATTTACTGAGTACTATCATAGTGGGAATTTTTGTTCACTAAATGGTGTTATGTTGATCTTGCTATTTTTGTTTGTTTTTTGTATTGCATCTGTATATTTAACATCATTTTTCATTTTTATACACTGTGTGCTTTTTCTTTTTGGGTGTGGTCCCCATACAGTTCACTCCACCAGTTCACCTGTCACCATAGCTCCATGTGCACTTCCCATCCCTGTTTTTTTTTTTTTTATAGATTTATTTACTTGTACATACAGAACTGGGGTATAGGCCAGAGGCTCAGGGTGGCAAGAGGTTTCACCAGAGACAGAGTGGGGAGCAGAACAGGCAGATCGATGAAGTACACTGCTGAGGGGAGCAGCGGGCGGGTCAGGAGAGGTCTGCCTCGCCATGTGGTCATCTCCGGGGCAGGTGGGAATCAAACTCATGCATAAGTGGCTTTAGCTTCTCAGTGCTGTGCTTTAACCCGCTGCGCCACCAGGGAGGGCCTTCCCAACCCTGTTTTGATCCTGTTCCCCTCTCCCCTCCTGCAGAAGGTCTTTGGTTTATAGTTATCTCTTAATTTTGATATTTACTTTATTATATTTATGTATTTTTTCCTTGATTCCTTTTTGGGTCCCCTACGTTCTTCCTAGTAATGAAACCATCTAGTATTTTTCTCTTTCTTTTTGGCTTATTTCACTGAGCATGATCCCTTCCAGCTACATCCATGTAGCTGCAAATGGCAAGACTTATCTTTTTTGGTTGCTGAGTAATATTCCACTGTGTATATATACCACATATTCTTGATCCAGTCATCTATTTTTGGGCATCTGTGTTTTTTCCATAGCTTACCTATTGTAAATAGCGCTACAATAATGTGTTCCCGGGCCCTCCCAGGTGGTGCAATGGGTTAAAGCACAGCATTATGAAGCTGTCCGAATCCACTGCAGCATGAGTTGGATCCGCGGCAAGGGAGCTGACCCACATGGCGCGGCAGACCTCTTCTGACCTGCCTGCTGTTCCCCTCAGCAGTGTACTTCCTCAATCTGCCTGTTCTGCCCACTCGTGTCTCTGACAAAATCACTTACCTCCAGCACCTCTGGCCTATACCCCAGTTCTTGTGTGCATAAATAAAGCTATCTTTAAAAAAATAATAATGTGATCCTTTTCTTACTCCTTGTAGACTGTAGGGAATCTACAAGGTGGTGGTTTTGACCTCTGGGATTTCAGATTCTTTCAAGTGTTCTTGCACATTGTGGTTCTCCAATTATGTATTCGAGGGGAGGCCACCAATGCCAAAAAGCAGGATGTACAGTCCAGGAGAAGTTCATTATAGTAAGTTTACAGGAAAGATTCTGCCCAACCTCAAGATTCAGCATAGATACTCAGGACCTGACTCACTGGGTTCATAATAACAAACTATTTTTCATGACAGAAACATTTTTAGGGTCACAATCTTCTTTTCAGGTTAACTAATTTCAATAAAAATGTACAAGTAAGAGGTAGTACTTGTTGAAAATTCTGAACATTCACTCACCTTGTAGCCTGGACATATGTCTTTCACAAGCGCCGTGTTGTGTCCTCTGTGCCGGGGGGACCGCTCACAGCACCAGCAGATGAGCTGCCCGTCGTCCTCACAGAACAGGTGCAGCTGCTCCCCATGCTCCTCACACAGCCTCTCCTGCTCCAGCTCCCTGATGCTCTCAATGAGGTTTTCTAGGTGCTTGTTGGGCCGGAGACTCTCCTTTTGAATTGGTGTTTGACACAGAGGACAGCGAACCAGCCAAATAAAAGATGTCATGAGATGTTGCTGTCCATTGATGTTGTCTATGCAGGGACGGCAGAAGCTGTGCCCACAGTTGATGCTCGTGGGCTCTGTCATCAGCTCCTGGCAGATGGTACAAATGGCTTCTTTCCTCATCTTCCTGATTGCTGGCGATGAGGCCATCATCCTTCCTGAGAAATTTTACTAAGTCCCTATAAGCAGAGCTGAATCAGCCAGGTATTTCCAGAGTGAAGGACATAAACCTTACCTGAGCCTCAGAGTCTGCACAGGTGTTGAAATCTCTCTGGAGACATAACAGATGGCAATATGACAGATGCCTGACACGTTGCTGTGTGGCAGAATAGGGTGATCCCTGTCATATTGGCCCACTTCAATTTACATCTGTTAGTGTTCAATAGCACTTAAATTCACTGTTTTGTCCCACCAGCCATAATTTAATCTTTCAATCTGGCAAGATAGCCAGGTAAAGAACATGCCCAGAGATGTTCTTAGACCAGGTACTAGTAGAGAGAGAAACAGACAGGTGCTCACACAAGTTGCAGGATAGAAGAGAACTCAGGGAGGGAGAGTGAAACACTCTTCATGTCTAATGAGCTGGGAGGAGTCCGCCCTGAGTTACACCTTTTTGAGTTACTTCTTTGTCTTGGTAGCAACACTGAGGGGAATGGTTGGAGAGCAGAGGTCATGGTCACACCCCATGTCTGGTTTTCTGGACCCCACTAAACCCTCTAAGAAAAAGGGACTCCACGTTATTCCAGTTTTCATGGAGCCCACACTGAAGGCAGGAGATCTGGGCAGAGGGGGTAAGAGAAGGTTTGGTTCTGGGAGCACAAGTTTCCTATGAACAAGGTGACTGTTACTTCTCCAATGGGGACAGGTTTCCACAAGCTCAGAGTGCCTGAGACAGAGGGATTTTTCAAAACCAGGATGTGGGGAGGCAGGAAGCAGAGTGAAAGACCTGTTTTTTTGTGGTCCCCTTGTACTGGTCACCAATGTCCACCACTGACAACCTGAGAGCTTGAGACAGAGAAGTGACTAGGGCACAGGGCCTGCCCTTGCCCACAGCTGCAGCTGCTCAGACTTCAGGCCTGCTGGGAGTAGGGGCAGGCTGAGCAGGGAAGTTAGAGTGACCTTCCACTGAGCTCACAGTGCCTGGGGCTAAAATCATATCCATCATCAGTAACTGGATAGACATTTCTATTTTCCAGTCCTCAGTCACAGAGAATTCTCTGCAGACAGCAGAGGAGGTTACTTCTCCCAGGGGCTACATCAGCCTTCCTTATTCCTAGGGCTGTGTTCCTGGGGCTGCCTCTCCTCTGAGCCCTAAGTGCCTGCCCTCCTCACCTCACACCCTGACATGTGATGTGGCATGGAGCCTGGGCTAGAGAAAGCAAAGGAGAGAGCTAGAAAGCAAAGTCCTCTCCATTTTCGGAGTTTGGTGAGCTCCTTATTGCCACCCAACACCCACCCAACACACACACACACACACACAGAAATCAAGTCCACCCCAGAGCAAACCTTGGTCCGGACTTGTTCCCTCGTGCACAGCTCTTAGGCACTGAATTGCTGACAACTGCCCAGCAGCTCCACTTCCGTCTTCCTGGGTGGGAAGTTCCTCTGCAGTCAACTCAGAAACGAAACTGATGTGGGGGCGGGTCCACAGAGAGAAGGGAGGAACCTTGTCAAATTGCCTCCGGGTTTGTACTCTGAAAGCCAGAAGGAAGGCGCTGGTAGGAATATACCCTTCTTCCAGAGCTACAACAGAGCAAACAAATTAAAATCAATTGTGACCTGGCGCAGCCTGGGGGTTTGGTGGGGGCTGGGGAGCAGACCACAATAAGGACTGGACCCTCGGTCTCCCTGGGGAGCCCAGCTCACAGCCAGAGGGGCGGATGCACCTCTGGATCCCCCTTCCCAAGATGACTCCTCCTCTCTCTTCCTGCCAGTCAATGCCATGAATGACTTTGGATCAGGGCACAGCTGGGTCCCCTGTTTGTCTTGTCAAAAGGATCAGGAAACAGGAGGAGGGAACTCCACAGGGGATCAAAACACCCCTACACAGCAGCAGCCAGACAAAAGATGAGCTCATGCAGAGAGCTCAGGGCTGAGAAAGGGTGGGGGTGCAGAAGAGCCATCAGCAACATGCCCCCATAGTGGGAGAGACCAGCGCTTCATGTGATGTGGTGTGACAAGGGGAGTCCAGAGCCTGGGGGTGCTACCTGTTCAAGGGGACCTCGGTTGTAAGATCTCACAGGGCTGCGGAAGGACACATCACTGGATTCCCTTAGAAGAGCCTATACTCCTAGTGATAACTTTGTATCTGGAGCTATTACCCCCAGATCCATGAGGTGTTTTTCCTCAAGTCTTTCAGCTGTCTCCCCTAAATCAGGACTACTGTGACCTCATTTAATGGGGTGCCCTTCCCCAGTCTCAAACTTTCTTAGCAGTTCTATTTGTTTCCATTGCACTGATCACTGGGTATTTACTTATTGACCTATTTACTTTCTGCCTTCCTCATCAGCATGCAAGTCCCACAAAATCATGGATTCATGTTAATATCTTTCCTTGATGACCCCCAGTATCTATAAGCTCCAGACCAGTGCCATGAAAAAAAAAGGTGCTATTCTGAGCTGCACAAGCACAGTGTTGATGACGTGCACACACTGGGTGATGCCATGTGGTTGAAGACGATTGTGTTAAGGATGATTATTCGCACACAAATGTCCATTTGTGCATGTTTTAGATGTCCTGTTTTTTGTGTGCTTTGTGATCGTGATCATGGGCTTTGTAGCAGTGTGATAGATTCTCTGTGCCATGCTTAGTAACTATGCTTGCTGTGTGTGTCTGAGTATATATATTTGGGGTGGGGCCACAGATTAACCTCTAAATGGTTTCAGAAATTACCAGAATCCATGAAAAGTGACAGGCTTCTCAACATCTGTTTCTTACCCTCCTGAAAAAAATCAACAGCACACTCTAAACAATGGATAAAGAGAAAGTGACAAAAAGTGAAAATATTGAAGCTTGAAATGAACGAATACCAAAGTCCCCAAACCAAAATTTGTGGTTCCATAAAACAAGTGCATAGATAAAATAATGTAAAGGCCATTATAATAGACAAAAGATCTTGAGTCAACAATTTAGCCTTCTTGTAAAAGAGCAGAAAGAACGGGCCCTCCTTGGTGGCGCAGGTGATAAAGCACAGAATTAAGAAACTAAAACCACTTCAGCATGATGGCTACCTGGCTCTCACTTCTCGGCCAACTCCCCTTCCACTGAGGGAGCGGCCCCTGGTTGTGGGGTTGTTGCTAGACTGTGAGGCAGGACTTGTGTCCTTTTACATGAATACTGGCTCCCACATCTTCATCTCGCTGAGGGCCTCCTTCTCTGACACTCTCAGGCCTTATTTCCAGGTTGGTCATTATTCTTCTTTGCTCCTCCCTCCACCACTGAAGTCAATTTAAAATAGTCTTTTGTTTAATGGATGGAGCTGGAAGGGATCATGCTTAGTGAATTAAGCCAGAAGAAAAAAGTAATGTCTTTGATTAGGTGAAGCCCTCAAAGCCAGGACACAGGGTAAGGCACAGAATCTCCTAGAATTGGGATGCTTTTCCTGGGCGTCTCCACGGGACACTTGTCGCTGATCCTCAGACAGCTTTAGTTCAGGATGAGCTGTGTCTGGATCCAGAGTCACGCTGACTAAAAAAGAGAAAGACACGTTTTATTTGCTGAGAATACAGTGCACGGCAACTCCAACCTTCCAGGTTTCAGTGTAGCCCAGTTTCTTGTACATCTGTGAGGGATTTTCTGAGACTCTGCAAACTAGCAGGAAATCATCATATCTGCCACATTAATGTTGGGGAGAATGATGGTGAAAGAGCTAATGCACGCTTAGAGCTTGGAGAAATGAAATGCCTGGCATTTGGTAAGTAACCAGTAAGTGGAGTAACATCCTCTCCACCACTATCTCTGTCACCATCTCAGTTACTCAGAGAAGGCAAGGGACTGACTAACCAGTGTGTGACTGGTGCCCCAACCCTTTCTCCCTGTGTAGGCCAACTGAGAATCATGGAATATTGAAGCAAAAAAAGAAAGAAAGACAGAAAGAAAGGTTATCCCCATTTCTGCTTACTAACTTCTCAACTGATGATCAGAAAGGAAATAACCTGGCTGTGTGTTATATCTTGCTATGAAACAGATTCTAGTATTCTATTAAGCCCTCAGAGCACATGTCAGTCCTGTAAATGCAGGTGGGAAGTCTTTTATGTTGCTGCAGATAATGTCCATATTGTCCCAGGAGTTAATGAAAAGTGATACAAGTTATACTAGGAATAACAGACATCAAAAGTTCTGACTAGCATAAGTAAAACAAACATATCTTGCTCAGCCTAAGCGTGACACCGGCCCGGAGTGTATTTACAAAGCAGCAATGATCATAGGATGTTCTAGCAAGAAGTGAACCTCCAAAATGTTGCTGAGTTGTACACGATCTGCCGGGCCATGGCTGAGAACTGAAGGTGACCTCTGTGGACCCACCAGCATCCTCCATGACTTCTGACCTGTGTTTGCTTCAGTCAATGGGAGACTCTAGAGGGGCCCAGAGATCAGAAAGATCAGCGCTAGGGGCCCTCAGTGCCCAGATCCCTCCCCATTGCCTGAGAGGGCGGTCCCCGTCACCTATGCCTGTTCACACCTCTTGTCCTAACAGTTCCCTCCACCTGCCACACAGACCCAGGGGCCATGGCCCCCTACTTCTTGCCCGGTATACTCCCTGTTCATGACCTTAGTTTTCATTATTGGAAATAACTCCTTTATTAAACTCTCCTCAGTCAGTCCTTATCCTCCTCACGCATGAAAGTTTGCATTTTCAATTCATGTTATATGAATAATCCACAATAACTGTAGTGGACAGATTAAAATGTTTACAGGTGAGAATGGTAATTATACTGAAAGGGGAAACATCAATTGGACTTTTAAAATTCCACCTATGGTTTATAGTGAGACCCATAACTGAGAGGCATAAAAGGATGGATTATATAATTATGTAGCTGTTAAATTTATCAAGTAGCATTAATTTAAAGTATTGTTAAGGGAGAAGAGAAAATTAATAAATAAAATCACTAGGAACATATAGCAACTCCAAATATGCATGCACCCTATAACTTGACAATAAACAATGCAAATATCACTATAATGCAACATGAAGGTGAAAACTCTATAATCATCAGAAGACATTTTCATATTCTTCCCTTCATAGTTGACAGATCTGGCTGGGGAAAAATGTATCTGAAAGTGGGGAGGTCTTGAACAGTTCAACCAGAACAATTTAACAGACAAATAGAAAGAACAGCGATTAAAAAACAGAATATGCACTTCACACCACATTTTCTACATGGACTATGTACTCACTGATGGAGTTGGTCAGAATCCAAGAATGAACATATTTCTGTAGATCTCTATTACACAGACCAGGTTATTTGAACTCAATGCAATGCAATGCTATACAATAATAAAACATCCAAAAATATTTTAAGGTTACAAAATCAAAATGCTTATAAATGACATTGAGTAGATATATGAAAGTCCTTACAGAAACTTAAATAGAAAATAGATGAAAGCTACTTATATGTGAAGACTAAGCAGGTTCCTCCCACCTACGTAATTAGTGAATTTATCACCCCGAACCATAATCAGTGCTGGAACAGTACAGATGGCAGCTAAATATTCTTTCACTATTTTCTAGTGATTTTTTTTCTTTTTTTGGCAATGGATCATCTATTCACAATTGATCCAGAAATCAACCTGTTCTAGCAACAGAATTTCACAGTTATATTTTCAAGATACCTTGACATCTGGCTATTTAATATATAGGTATATTTAACCAATATGCACACACACATGTGGTTGTGACTACATTTTATTTCATTTTTTAAAAAGATTTATTTATTTGTACATACAGAACTGGGGTACAGGACAGAGGCTCAGGGGTGGCGAGAGACTTCACCAGAGACAGAGCGGGGAGCAGAACAGGCAGATGGACAAAGTACACTGCTGAGGGGAGCAGCGGGCGGGTCAGGAGAGGTCTGCCACGCCATGTGGTCACCTCCGGGGCAGGCGGGAATCGAACTCATGTGGAAGTGGCTTTAGCTTCTCAGTGCTGTGCTTTAATCAGCTGCACCACCAGGGAGGGCCGTGGCTACATTTTAACAGTAGAAAGTAAATGATCAAAATCCCCAATTGTCATATTATAAAAAATTTCATAATCCTACCAATGAACACACCCAACTCGCTGATGAGAAAATCAGTACCCTTTAAGGAATCAAGTCTTTGTACTTTGATGGAAAGTAAGTCTAGTCTGGGTGCTCCCTGATGGAGCAACAGACTAACGCACAGCACTATGAAGCTATCCACAGCCACCACAGCAAGAGTTTGATTCCCAGCCGGGGAGGTGACACACATGTCATAGCAGACCTCTCCTGTCTCGCCTTCTGCTCCCCTCAGCAGTGTGTCTCAGTCAATCCGCCTGTTCTGCTCCCCACTCTGACTCTGGTGAATTCTCTCACCACCCTGCACCTCTGCCCTGTACCTTGTGTGCACAAATAAAAATCTTAAAAAAAAAAAAGCAAACAAACAGTATGCCTCGT